CGGTACCCCCCCCCCCCCAAATTTATTTATTCGTTTTAATTTGTGTGTCTTTGTGTGCTTGTCTGGAAGTCACGGCCGACTTCTGGCGACCCCTACTGAGGGCGTGGATGTTTTTCAGAGAGGTGGCTTGATCAGCCTGCCCCTGCGTCCCGCCTCTGGTATTCCTTGGAAGTCGCCCTTCCAAATACTTGCCAGAGTCGGCCCTGCTTAGCTTTCGAGATCGGGCTCTCCTGGGCTATCCAAGTCAGGGGCTATACCCCCAAAATCTTGGCCTCTAAGGTGTACTGGACTCTAATTTAGATCTTCTGCAAGTGAACTCTAGTATTTAATAGGTCATAAGAACATAAGAGAAGCCAATGTTGAATCAGGCCAGTGGCCCATCTAGTCCAACACTCTGTCTCACACAGTGGCCAAAAAGGGCTCTTTACTGCCGGAGCTCCGCTCCTGTGCGCTCCTGCAGGAAATGACCCCTGATTGTCCCTATACATAAAAAAGGGAGCAGATCTGCCCCACGGAATTACAGACCACTGTATACGATGGCATCTCCGAGAGTCTCAAAGCTAGGATGCCTCCTTCGAGTGAGTCTCTGAGGGCAGCCATGTCTGTCTGAAGAACAACCGGATTCGAGTCCAGGAGCAGAGAAAAACAAGATTTTCAGGAGTACGAGCCTTTCAGAAGTCAAAGCTCCCTTCATCAGATACAGGAGCTTTGATTCTCAAAAGCAGTACCGCCCCCCCCCCAAATTTATTTATTCGTTTTAATTTGTGTGTCTTTGTGTGCTTGTCTGGAAGCCACGGTCGACTTCTGGTGACCCCTACTGAGGGCGTGGATGTTTTTCAGAGAGGTGGCTTGATCAGCCTGCCCCTGCGTCCCGCCTCTGGTATTCCTTGGAGACCTATTAAATACCAGAGTCAGCCCTGCTTAGCTTCCGAGATCGGGCTCTCCTGGGCTCTCCAAGTCAGGGGCTATACCCCAAAAAGCTTGGCCTCTAAGGTGTACTGGACTCAAATTTAGATCTTCTTCAAGTGAACTCTGGTATTTAATAGGTCATAAGAACATAAGAGATGCCAATGTTGGATCAGGCCAATGGCCCATCTAGTCCAACACTCTGTGTCACACAGTGGCCAAAAATACCAGGTGCCCTCAGGAGGTCCACCAGTGGGGCCAGGACATTAGAAGCCCTCCCACTGTTGCCTCCCCCCCCAAGCACCAAGAATACAGAGCATCCCTTGCCCCAGATGGAGAGTTCCTATCTCTGCCTTGTGGCTCATAGCCACTGATGGACCTCTGCTCCAGATGCTTATCCAGTTCCCTCTTGAAACTGTCCATGCTTGTAGCCACCACCTCCTGTGGCAGTGAATTCCATGTGTTAATCACTCTTTGAGTGAAGAAGGACTTCCTTTTATCTGTTCTAACCCGACCGCTCAGCAATGTCATGGAGTGCCCACAAGTTCTTGTATTGTGAGAAAGGGAGAAAAGTACTTCTTTCTCATCCTGCTCCATCCCATGCATAATCTCATAAACCTCTATCACGTCACCCCTCAGCCGTCGTTTCACCAGGTCCCTTTTATACACAACCCGATGCTTTATTTTAGGAATTTATAACCCACAAATGGTTACTCATATGGCTAGAGCAGCAGCTTCCAAACGTTGACACATTCAGTAAACCGTTACTCCTCCAAAGAACAGCATAAAATAGTATCTACAACATCCCATAATAAACAGCAAAGTAAATAAATGAATTAACCGTAACTGTCAAAATAAGATCATAAAAAAAGGGGGGGGGGGGGGGAGTCATATTCAGAAGTACACTCAAGTTTTCACCTGGTAGCTAAAACTATAAAAGCCAGACTCCAACCAATCAGCTGAGGGCAGGGAGCTCTAGGGCACCACCACCAAAAAGTCCCTGTCCCTAGAGGCCGCCTCTCTTAGCACCAAACAAATGGGGTCATACAGATTGGGGTCTTTGCAAAAGATTGTAACTAGCACCTGGAGGAGCAAGCCGCCCTGTTCCCAGATGGTCTAGGATTAGAGATGTAAAATTTCCAGAAATTTTGAAGCTCGGAAAAAAACCCATTTTTTTTTTCAGGGGGAAACCGGAAATTTTTGGAAAAATTGAAAAACATACTACATTAGCACTTCTTTTTTCTTTTCCAAATGGAAAGTCATTCTATTACTTTAGGAACATATAATATAACTATGGACATTTTTACTTGGCATGAAATTATCACAACTAGCACATTAAAAATATAGTGTATCCAGACAATTATTACAAACAGAATACCCACCCACATGCAAAAACAAAACTGAAACCTTTTCCTTTTCTTGTGGCAATAGCACCTCCTAAAGGAAGAGATGCATCTTGTTCTTGCATTGGAGAGTTCAGTTTGTGACCTAGGACTTGCTTGTCCTCAGTGCACAGAAATTAGATCAATCTCATACCATACATATTTTTTAGAAATGATTTGGAAAATATTTGAACACCTTGTCTTAAAATATTTTATTCATCATGTTAAAATAAAATGTTCCATAATCAATTTCTTTTCTTTTTTTCAATTTTTCCAATTTTTCGGGAAAAAAAACAAAAAAGGCTTCAGGAAAAAAACGGGGGGGAAACAGGTTTTTCCCTAATTTTTCCAGTTTTTTTCCGGGCTTTCACATCTCTATCTAGGATTCTAAGTACAAGACCAAACACTAAATCATGCAGAATGGTAGCCAGGGTAGCTCTTGCAAAAATGTTGATTCAAAACTCCAGAACACAGTCCACGAAACGCCTTGTATTAGGACCAACCAAATGACACATAACAGTGTACAAGAAACACTTGAACAGTCTTCAAAGGCAGCCCCAAGCACAGTTCATGCCACTATTGCAGTCTGGATGTGACCAGAGCACAGATAACCATAGCTGCATCCCATCTCTCAGAGGAAAGCCACGGCTGATACACCAATCAAAACGGGGCAAAGACCCTAGATGCAGATAAAGAACTGTAGACGGGGACATAACTGTACCCCCAGCTGGGATCTACTCTTTCAGGGACACGACAACCCCAACCAGGTCCGTGCCGCTCCTCGATCCCTGGTGTGCAATATTATTGACCAACAGCACCTGTGCTTTCTGGGCTGAAATTCGGTTTGTTGGTCTCCTCCTGCCTAGGACCACCTTCAGAGTCAAGCACATCTACTGTCTCACTTGACTCCGCTGAAAAGGACAAAGAGCTCAACGTCAGTGTTTTGGGCACCACAATTTAGGAGGGATACAGACAAGCCGGAACGTGCCTAGAGGAGGGGCAACGAAGGTGGTGAGGGGTCTGGAGTAGAGATGTAAAATTTCCGGAAATTTTGAAGCTCGGGAAAAAAACCGTTTTTTTTCCCCAGTTTTTTTGGGGGGGAAACGGAAATTTTCGGGAAAATTGAAAACATGCTACATTAGCATTTCTTTTGTCTTTTCTAGATTGAAAGTCATTCTGTTACTTTAGGAACATAAAATATGACTATGGACATTTTTACTTGGCATGAAACTAGCATATTAAAAATATAGTGTATCCAAACAATCAGTTTGTAACCTAGGACTTGCTTGTCCGCAGTACAGAGAAATTAGATCAATCTGATACCATATATATATATATTTTAGAAATGATTTGGAAAATATTTGAACATCTTGTCTTAAAATATTTTATTCATCAATGTTAAAATAAAACATTCCATAATCAATTTTTTTTCTTTTCTTTTTTCAATTTTTCAGAAAAAACAAAAAAGCTTCAGGGGAAAAACGGAAAAAAAACGGTTTTTTTCCGGGCCTTCAAATCTCTAGTCTGGAGGCCAAGTCCCATGAGGAAAGGTCGAAGGAGCTGGGGATGTCTAGCCTGGAGGGGAGACGACTGAGAGGTGACAGGATCACCCTCTTCAAGTACCTGAAGGGCTGTCACAGGGAACATGGGCAGGGGGCGGGAACCACTTGCGCAAATCCACAGCCAAGTTATGCTCAAAGACACATACTTGAAGCCAAAGACGATGACCTTGGAGGAGTCACTGGGCCACTCGCAGACGGTCAGGTACAGATCGCTGTAGATTTCTTCATCTTGGAATAACCGAACCTGACGCACCTGAAGAGATGGCAAGAGACCTTCTGGGACATGGCCGGAGAGACACTTACCATCAGGAAATGCCCCCCCCCCCAAAAAAAAGAGCATAAGATGTGCATTAAAGTGTATTAATCCAACCAATAAATCAGAAGCTCAGTGTGCTTTGGAACTGGGCTGCACAGAGGACCGCTTCTGTTAAACGACGGAAGGTTTCAAGAAAGCAAGAAGAGGCAGATGCCGTACTCAAGCTGTCCACTGAGACTATGAAGTAAGACTTTGAGCAAGCCAAGTTTCTGACCTGCGGCTGCCATGGATTCAAGCAACAGTGAGGTAAGTGTACTGCTGAATAGGGCTCTCTTAATTGTTGTGGGGGACTCAACCGACTCTGCATCCTAGCTACAGGAGGTAAAGGCCCTGGGCGTGGCTAGACACGGTCAAGTCTGCTTTTGCAGGATTCTGGGAGGAAGCCGTGAAAGCCCTATATAAACTACATCCTAGCTCAAGATTTTCTACATTCATTTATTTATTTAATTTATACTTTTGATTTATATTCCGCCCTTCCTGCATGGGCAGGCTCAGGCTATTCATTAGGTAGCTTTCCATATTCGGATCTGAATTGGACTACTTTCCAGCAACTGAGACTAACAATGCAATCCTAAACAGAGTTAAATGCTACTAAGCCCGTGGACTTCAAGGGGTTTAGAAGGGTGCAGCTTGGTTTATCAGTGTACGGTAAAGCTATAATGCTATGCAACCTGAAGACAAGAGGATTTGCTTCTGAGTAAGTATGCATAGCTTTGTGCTGCACAGGGAATGCTCAGAGTAACCCAGTGACTGCAAAGTCCTAAGTGGAACCCAGAGCCCACAACACACCAGGAGCAAAATAGCCTTAAGTGGAACCCAGAGCTATACCAAAAACAGCCCACAACACACCAGGAGCAAAATAGCTCCTGTTGCTGTAAAATGATGATTTATTTTTAGGTTGACCCAACGTGTTTTAAGTGTATTGCCTTTGATCAAGGGTACTACAAAAAACATGTGTATTTCAGAACAGAAATATCATGGTAATTACCACTTAATGTAATTTGTACATTAAATAAAGAATCAGAGCCCTTTATAGTTGGGGCTGGCAGTGTTTGTGGGGAAAGTGAGGCGCAACCTCCACAAATAGAAACTGAATGGAATTAGAGTGGTGGTAGCGCCAGGTGACACCCCCCCCCCCCCG